CAGGAAGTCCCACCTATACTTACGAAAATTTCAAGACTGCCCTACTAAAAGCCTTCCCTGTTGTAAGGCATCGTGCGAAATTAGAAACAGAACTTTTCAGTGTATATCAACAAAGAATGGAAAACCTCTCGAGCTTTATTTTAAGAAAAATTCACGTTTTCAAGCTCTTGTATGGAAACCGTCGGATCCTGAAATAATTCAAGTGATTTTGCCGAGGTTACTACCCCAAGTGCAAGACTTTATTGAATTGAGAAATCCGACTACACTGGAAAAATTATTTGAGCTAGCAATCCAGTTTGAAAGTAGAAGAACGGCGGACGTCGAAAGAAGACGCCAATATCAACAGCGAAACCAATTTGGTACGCCAAGACTACAGCAAACTCAAGCATACGGCTACGGAGAAAAAGCGAATCAGTGGGCAAGGAAACCCGAGCATTCAAAAACAGCCGGCGAACGTCGACACTTCAATAGCAACCCAGGAAAAAAGTCTCAAGGCCAGTGGAAAAAGAAGGAAAGCACGGAAAGGAAAAATAATTTAAACTAAAACGGATTTCTGCTGACGAGAGGGTGCGGAAATCCGAAGGCAAGGCCACGAAAACCCCTCTTCCTACAAGTTAAATACAGTAATGGTGAAAAATTTTTAACTCTTCCGAAGATTGAAGTCTTGGTAAATAATATCCCGGCCACCGCACTCCTGGATACCGGCGCGCAGTGTTCCTGTGTGGCAGAAGTCTTTTTTAGAAAGTATTTTCGCAAATACCGCATATATAATGCGGATAATACAACAGTATTAGCGGCGCAAGGAGAACAATGTAAGTGCGTAGGTAAAGTACCTTTGTACATCCGTATCAAGGACGAACAAGTAAAGGTGATGTTTTTTATAGTAAAGAATTTGCAAGCAAATTTAATCCTAGGAATAGACATTCTTTCAGACGCACAAGCTACACTGGATTTTAATGAATCGTCCCTTAAGCTGACGATGAAACCAGTGCGTGTAGAAAAGGTTGAACCGCCAAGGTTAAATCTTGACCACCTGCCTAATGACGAGCAAGATAGAATCCGACAAGTGGTAAGTGAATTTGCTTCGTTATTTAGTGATATTCCAGGATTTATTCAGGTTACTAACCATAGTATTGACACCGGAGATGCATTGCCAGTTCGTCAAAAACCATACCGGTATGATAAGAATAAGGAAAAAATTATAGAATGGCATATTACCGATATGCTACGTAAAAAGATCATAACGCCCATCTCAAGTAGTTATGCTAGCCCGGTGGTTTTATGTAAGAAAAATAATGATTATCCTTTGGAGCATCCAAAAAGGTGGAGATTCGCTATTGATTACCGTAAATTAAATTCCATAACGAAATATCCGGTATATCCGTTGCCGATCATAGAAGAAATTTTAAGGAACATAAAATCAACCAAATTTATGACGACTTTAGACTTAACGAATGGTTATTTTCAAATAGGGGTCAGGCCTGAGGACGTGCCTAAGACTGCTTTTATAACCAAGTCTGGCACTTATGCATTTTTGCGTATGCCGTTTGGCCTTTCAGGCGCCCCAGCAACATTTCAGCGATGCATGGACATTGTGTTAAGACCTGTTCTTGGAAAGTCCACATTTATCTATTTAGATGATATCATTATTACTAGTGATAATCTCGACCAACATATACAGGATTTAAGACAGGTGTTTTCTTTATTAAATGAGGCCGGTCTAAAAGTTAATGTCGAAAAGTGCAAATTTGCAGCCCCTGAATTAAAATATTTAGGTTACAAAATATCGCAAAAAGGGATCGAGACAGATGAATCAAAAATAATCGCTGTACAAAAGTATCCGACTCCAAACACAGCAAAGAAGCTCTCTTCTTTTCTAGGACTTTGTTCATATTATAGGTCCTTTTATAAAAGATTTTGCGGCTATCGCTGAGCCATTGTTAAAATTAAAAAAGGAAAAAGGCAAGATTCTCGTGGACGGCTGAAGCCAATAGTGCTTTCGAAAAATTAAAACAAGCATTAACGCAAGCCCCTGTGTTGAAAATTTCCTGAAAAAGGATGAAAATTTAGAAATTTCAGCGGATGCTTCGGATTATGCGGTAGGAGCGGTACTTTCGCAAAATCAGCAGCCCGTGGCATTTTTTAGCCGAACTTTAAATCAAACACAAAGAAACTATTCCGCGACCGAGAGAGAGGCACTTGCAGTTCTGTTAGCAGTGCAAAAGTTCCGAGTCTAGTTTGGAAAGGCGCCGATAACAGTATATTCTGATCATGCGGCGGTAACTAGATTGTACTCAGGGAAAAATTTGTTCAAAAAAGTTGTGCGCTGCTATTAAAATTTGGCTATGAATTGGTTCAATTCCTAGATCAGTGGGAATTTGGGTATTATTTAATCATGGGGCATTCACAGTGGTGCGTAGAATTTTGTTCAGAAGAACATATTTTTTTCATCTTTCCGTTCTGTTAGCTGCTGCCCAAGCTGGCACAGAGTAGAGCAGGATTGGACGAATTAATGAAATGTAAAGCATCTTTTTAACTTTTAAATTCAGTTTAGATTTCTTTCCTATTAGTGAGTAAATTGACATAAAGGTTGCATTTTCCTTATTTAGAATGTAGGTGATATGATAGTTAAAGTTCAAGCTCTTGTCAGTATAGTTACCAAGATACGTATACGAGTCTGCAACAGGAATAGTGAGATTATCGATTCGTATGTCTGTATTGACTCGCATTCGAGTTTTATAGCGTCGATAAAGGATAACATAGCATTTGGCGGTATTTAGATTAATTTTCCAAATTTTGCACCACTTGAAAATTATATTAACATGAAGTTGAAGATTATTTAAGGCCAGCCCAGGGTTTCTGCATTCCGTAAGAATTACGGTATCGTCCTCATATTTTAAGACTCTTAAACTTAAAGGATGCGGTAAATCATTTATATAGATATTGAAGTATTTTGGTTCGAATACACATCCTTGCGCGACCTCGCTATATATAACCTTTTCAGAGGATAACGTGTGCCCGAATCTAACTTGAAATGTCCTCCTTTTAAGATATGAGATGGTTAATTTAATAAAGCTTGCTGGAAGCAAGAAATTTGAAAGCTTGTGAATGAGGGCTGCATGCCACACTCTATCAAAAGCCTTTTCGAAGTCGAGGAAGTATGCAGCAACTCCATTCATTTTACTAAAGATGAGTAAAAATAAAATAAAAAAGTAAATTAAAAAAATAGTAATAAAATATAGTTTCGAGTATAGTTTCAAATATATATATAGTTTCAAAAATAGCATCGGGTAAAAATTTTCAAATAATTTGCCCACGACGAAAAATAAGCTTATAGGCCTGTAGCTAGAAGCAAGTTTTGGGTTTTTACCTGTCTTCAATAGAGTAATGATAATAGAATGCTTCCATCGTTGCTGAAAATAGCAGAGCTTTATACATGCGTTGAATATGTTGGTAAGTATGACTATACAATTTCTTGGCAGAGCTTTCAGCGCTTCGTTATTAATAAGGTCAAATCTCTTAGCCTTTTTGGTTTTAAGATTTTTTATTAAACTTCTGGCTTAACTATGATGTAAATGGGATATAATTGGTTATCCTCATAGTCGTAGCTAGGGTTTTCAGCGCCCAGGGACAACTGAAGATTTCGCGCCCTCTACTGCTTGCCAAGGATGGAAAACATTTAATTCTAAAATGTCGTAACATCAGTTTGGCGCCCCTTGGATTCTGCGCCCGGGGACAGATGCCCCCCTTGCCCCCCTCTAGCTACGCCCCTGGTTATACTTCTATTAATTAAACTGCTGACAGAGTGCTGAATCATTTTTTCACGTTCAGAGTTTTCTAAATCTTTTTTTTAATGCTGTTTCGAGTTTGCCATTAAGTTTGCTATTTCGGCTTCCGATTAATACACTCGACCCACGTGATCAATTGGGTGAATTGTCTGAGAGAGTTTGCTATTTTCTAAACGTGTAAGTTTGACAATAAATAGTTTCTGCGATCTATAATTGATAATATCCTGTTTAATTTTTCTATTCAGATAGTTAAAGTGGCTTTAACCGCAAGGATGTTTTGTAAGCTGCCAAATTTTTCTTTTGCGGTTTCTAAGTTTAATAAGATCCAGAATACTATTTGAAAGGGTGAGACCAGTTTGAACTTTACATGGATAGGAAGTGTCTTGAACTGGGTGTGGCATTTTATTGGTTAGCAAATACACATCTACTTTAATGTCACAACAGTGTGTGTATTCAATTCTACTAGAAATATTTCTTAATTGATTAGTGAATTAATTCCAGTCAATTTTAGTTGAGTATTTAGGCAGGGATGGGGTAAACCCATAAAAATCAAAGTTCACAGGAAAGTGATCAGAGAATAATTCCTCTAATACTTCGAGCTGTGAAGTGTGAGGGATGTGCTCCAGCAACTTTAATATCGTTATTTATGAGATAATTATTAAGCATAAAACCGTTTCTATTTAGTCCTCTTAAATTCCATGAAGGGTGTCTTGCGGTGAAATTGCCGGCGATAATTGTTGGGCAATTTGTAGACGTGAGGATGTCCAAATATTATCTGTAATAATATATATCTGTGGGCGAAGAGAGAGAATTGCGACGCAATTAGCCTTTTATACGACCAGATTACATTTCAGATCACATAACAATTGAATGTCTAGATATTTGGTCAAAATTTCATCGATAAGTGCGCAATACTGATAAGATGACGGATCTTCTTCATTTAGTTAGAAAAACTATTGCGTCGTTGAGTGGTTACTTTCTATATTTTTAACGATTCTTCCAGTGTTCATGTGCGAAATGCTATTTCTGCTTTTCCAAATTCTGGACTTTTCAACTGCCGCTGATCGGCCAGGTAGTTCTTGGCCCCCAGATGCTTACAAATTCGCAGATATTTATTTCCGATCTTTAGGAGCTGACTGTCTATTTCATATAATGTAAATAGTAAACTATTACTTGATTCTTCTTTTACTGTTTGTATCTTGTATGTTTTAGTTTGTGCAGCAGTTTACAAGTTAGGAGTTGCGGACTTGCCACCACATTCCATGTGAGCAGTCTCATGCGTTGCTTTCAAAACATCGAAAACATCGAAGCAGAGGGCTTCTTCTTCTCCTTCAATTCTACCTCGTGTGGAGAACTCTCATCTTCGGACTTCATCATATGTCAGGTCAAGTCGGGAATCTCTTAGGATACTGGTAAGAGCAGGAAGGAATCATCCTGCTGAATGCCAGCAGAAAAAATCCAAAGTATCAAGTCCTCCTTCTTCTCTCTTCCCTTCTGCTTCTAGAAGCTTGTGTCGCCTTGCTTACATAGAGTTTACTTTTCGTCCATTGTTTAAGATGTAAGCTGTACAAAATTGGGGGGTGCATAGCGCACCCGCAGCGATGATGTGCATTATCAAGGAATAAAATGTTCGGAATTTATCGTTATGTGTGTTCTTCGAGTGTCATCTTGCTAACTACGCAATTAATGACGAGAACCGCCGTCATTCCTTTGCAACTTATCTTCTACCAAGTCATCTTATTACAATAATATCGCAGTTTTATTACAATAATAGAGCAGTATTATTACAAAAATAAAAATGCTAACTTAACAATAGTGCGTTCAATAACTTTTAAATTTGTTTATTTCTCCTTTCTATCCTAAAATAGTAATTGCTTATAATAAATCTCTTTAAACTGCGTCATTTCAAATTAAATCTTTTCACTTGATGCTTATGTTAATGATGCAGAGCTTATACACGCTTCAGCCAATCAGAACACTTAAATTTGCAAACAAGAGCTTAAGCAATCGATAAGATTAAAGTTGATCCAAAATCAAATCATTCTAAACAGGAATTTCTATCTTGGATGCGGCACATTTTTTTTCGTGCCTTTCTAGGCTATAAATTTTGTTAACAGTCTCTTTTTTGTCGCCAAATCTAATAATGTGAAACTTAACGGTGGAACATAGGGTCACACGTCTTTGCTCTTGTGTAATACTGCGCAGTGTTTTATTCATCGAATTATACAAAAAATTTAGAACCTGCGAATATCCACCACTGCTTATTATAAAAAAAATTCAGCAGCAAAAGCATCATATTGCACCTATTTCTTCTGTGTCCTCCTGTGTTCCTATCTCAAAAGTTATTTATATTTATGCATTCACATACACGCATACACACATATGCATATACACATATACATACATACATATACATATGTAAGAATATCAAAACTAAGAATTCAAAGCATAATGAATAATAATGTATTTCAACCCACAGATTTTGAATATCTTAAACACAACTTAGAGCTACATCCTACATTTTTTTACACAAAATCCCTATTGGGAACCTTTGAACTCAATAAATATGAACTCACCATATATACTGATGGTTCGAAATCTGAAGCAGGCGTTGGTAGTGCATATTGCGCATTCCGAAAAAATTCAAATATTAAAAACTGGAATATTCGTTTAAACAATAACAACTCAGTTTTTCAAGCAGAACTTTTTGCAATCAAAGAAGCCACATGCTTCGCAAAAGAACTTTCTTTACCATCCTTAATTCTCTCTGATAGTGCATCTGGTATTCAAGCTATAATTGGACACAGTCGATCGCCTATTGTACAAGAAATCCATTTTCTACTTTCTCAATTTCAAAACAATAATAGACAATTAAAGCACACATCGGTAATAGTGGTAACGAGCTCGCAGACGAATTAGCAAAAGGGGCTGCAAACAATTCTTCCCTCCCAAATTACTCAATTCCATATCCAATATCATTACTAAAAACAAAATTAGAAACAGAATTAATGCACTTATGGAAGCAAACCTGGACTGAAGCAACTACCGGCAGAAGAACTTTTACTTTCATATCAAAACCTTCAAGATCATTAATATCTACCAACCGTTCAATTACATTTTTCCTAACAGCTCATGGTCCATTTCCAGAATACCTTCATAGATTCGGACTTCAGCATACAAATCTCTGTACCTGTGGTAATGAAGGCACAATAGATCATTATCTCTTTCACTGCAACCTTACTAAAGATTATCACCTTAAACATACTACAATTTAACTTCTGCTCAGTTATGGTTTCAACAGTTATTAAAAAGTAATATTCTCAGAAATAATCTTCATAATATAATAAATTATATCTCCGCAAACATCGATAATCTTAAAGGAACTTGAAATCATTATTCTTTGTTCATTTACCTTACTTAATAAGCCATTCTTTCTACTACCTCATTTTAATGCTTTCACTCAAGACTATCTTTATTTAAATCTTCAAGATCTCTCAAGCTCGATCAAGAATTTAAGGATATTTTCTAACTCCATCTCCTTAATATATTAATAAAGTCTCAACTCAAGATTTTTAGTCAAGTCTTTTACTCAAGATTGACTCTCTATCAAGAATTTCCACGAACTTTTCATTCAGGTCATCCTAATTCATTCAAATACTATTTCTCATCAACTTTTATTCAATTACTGCTCTTCATTCTCCATAATGAAATACTTTACTCTTTACATATCTTACATTCTCAGCCTCTACTATTCTTATACATTATGTTTGTTCATTTTCAAAATTTGTAATGATCTTCTTAAGTATTTACTTATCTATATACGTTTCATTTACTTTCATATTTCTTTAGGTATTATGTTTTTTATATATTTAAATTTCTTCAATTTTTATTATATAATTCTCAAAATTCTGATACTTTATTTAACTTCATATATAACAACATTGTATTTATCTTATTCTAAATTTTTAACTTTTATTTATTGTATCTATTTATGTTTATTTATCGCATTATTTATATATTTATTTCTTGATATTTTATTTTTATTATGTAATTATCAAAATTCTAAAATTTTATTGTATTTTACATAACAACACAGTTGGTAGATGATTCCATCAGTTGAGCGTAAAAGCTGAATGTCTTAAAGGCGGTGCAGCTGCTCATCTGATGGTAAATAAATAAATACATATACATATATATGTAGAGATCAACGACGACCAATGCTGAATTAGAATACCGAGCATACTGACGTCATCGCAGTATAGCTCAGTGCGAAGCATTCCAGACAGCGTCAGATAGCGTCCAGACGTGGATGAGAGCGGAGAGTAACAGAAGCGAGCAGACGGCTTGCTTGTCTTCAAGAGTTAAAGAAGACAGACGGTCTTCTTTGGTGTTTGCCATTAGCTCTTCATACTATTTAAAGCTAGAAGAGGACGTTAAACTATAACGTATTCTATCAACGCTTGTGGAACTAATATTGTCTGTGATTGTTCATCATTACATGAATCCTGCAACATTAATCTTTACTTCATTAACCTCTATTACTTTTATCTATTTCTTATTAGTAAAATAAAAGCATGTAACTATGCAATATTCGTGCTCTGATCGATATTAAAACCTACAAACTTTGGCGCCTAACGTGGGGCAACGAGCTCATCAACGAACTCGAAAGTGTGCGAGTAGCATTTTGAACTGTGTATTGAACTGACAGTGAACTGTTCTCACAAGCTATTGGATTTATTGGATTACTCGTATAAAGTGTGGATTACCCCAATTGAAGACGATCATCTGTCGGGTGAGTACAAAACTTTCTTTCCAATATAAAGTTAGTAGAAATTCCAGAATTGGAAGCAGCTTTAAAGAACAGTAAAAGTTCTGAAATCAAAAGTTTGCATAAGCTTATTTCTAATACTGATGGAGACCGAAATAACTGGAAAAGATTACGTGAATTTTCTGGCTTTACATTTAAACCAAATTCTGAAGAATTTAATAAGAAAATAGATACAGTGCAGAATAGTTTTACTTTGAATGAGTTAATTAAAGTTTGCAATGCATTGTGCATAAATTCAGAAGGTTTAAAATCGGAAGTCGTAACCCGAATTGCCTCTTTCCTATGTGATTTATCAGTATTATTTGAAAATATTTTGCATGAAGAAAATAGTGATATTGAAGATGAAACTGTTAATAAAATTTCTGAAGTAGTGCTTGATGATAATCAAAGAGACAATCCTGGTTTTAACTAGTCTCAAGTAAATAACACTATGCAGCTTCCAATTCAATATCATTTTAAACCTCATCTTAGTTTTTCTGATATTGAAAGTATTGTTAATCCTTTTTCTGGTAATGCATATGAAAATGTTGATAAAGGGATTGACGAATTTGAAGATGTTATAAATTCTTTGAAATTGAGTGAATTTGACATCTACTGCGGCTGACCATATGAAACCATGGTCAAATTGATTGATGTTTGTATCAGCTCGAAACCTAAGGACCTGATACTCTTTTTTTTTTTTTTTTTTTTTTTATTTTTTTAATCTCTTTGCAGGTACATGATGGTGATGTACACTTAACAGACATCGAGGACGATGCCCCTTCAGGCTGGCCGAAGCTGTAGAGATCAACGACGACCAATGCTGAATTAGAATACCGAGCATACTGACGTCATCGCAGCATAGCTCAATAGGAAGCATTCCAGACAGCGTCAGACAGCGTCCAGACGTGGATGAGAGCGGAGAGTAAGCGAGCAGACAGCTTGCTTGTCTTCAAGAGTTAAAGACAGACGGTCTTCTTTGGTGTTTGCCTTTAGCTCTTCATACTATTTAAAGCTAGCCGAGGATACGGAAAAACAAAATTCTGAAACTGTGGCATATTTATAATTTCGTTATCCAATGCTAGCATTTCTTGCACCCAATGCTTAGCTTTGTTAGTTTCTTACATCTCATATTTCTTATTTTTAAATTTTGAGAAAGTATGGAATTTTTTTGGTTATTCACTTTTTTTAACTTTCGCACATCTGAAATTCCCTTATAATTTACACCAAATAGTCATATATTTTTATTTTAATTCTTATTTTTACATATTATTTTTTTTATTCTTGTTATTACACTTTGCATATTTAAATTGGTTCTGGAGGAGGGAGATTCATGTTATTAAATTTTTCCATTTGCTTTTAAAAATAAATGTAAGTATAAATTAAATATATATATAAATTACGAAGTCTAACTATTTAAAGGGTTTAATAAACATGCAAACTGTGTCCAAAAAATCCTTAAAGGATTACATACGGCATTTATTCTTGGATTATAAAATATTTTTACGTACAAATAATAATCTGTTCCTATTATGACTATAATGCAAATACTCATATTTTGGTATTTTTAAATTTTAAAAATTACGAAATCGAACTTTTTACGTGGACTCCGCACCTAAAGAGTTATACTTAGGAAACTTTTATACTCATTGATAAAAATATAAAATTCAAAAAGTGTCGATTCCATATCCCCAAAATCATCGACTGAGTGAGTTGCTTAATATTCAAATTTTAGATTGTATTCATAGGCCGTACATAAACTGAAGAACGAAGTGATGGCATTTATA